CCGCTACCGTCCCGCTGCTCTGGCCCGGAGCTTGCCCAGCGGCCACGCGAAGTTGGTGCGGGGAACCCAGCCACCAGCTCGGCGAGTGAGTGAGCGGGAGAAGAACACTTTGGCACGCGTCAAAATAAGGGTTGATTGTTGCTACGCAGAGTTCGGTGTGAGTGAGAGGGAGAAAGCGATATTTGATTTTGTACATTTATTCCTAACTTAGATTTGACTACGCCTAACGGCACCTAGCCTGGCCCTACGCCACACTCCAGAAAGCTACCCTGACATGGCTCTCAGCCGGTTCACCCGCTGTTGTCGGTGGGCGAGGACACGTGTCCGTCAGCCGAAGGCTCCTTAGGCACTCGCGTGTCCTTTTGGGACTTGGGTACTGGCTTCGATAATTTCGAGTCCTTTTGGACTTGTCGCGGTGACCGAGTTTGACCGATCGCGTTTGCTGTCGCCAGAGAAGTGAAGAAGGCCAAGTTCGGGCAGAGCCCTTGTGGCCTAATTCTGCCCGGAATTTTGCGGGCAGCGCAGCTTTCTGTCGTCGGCTTTGTTGTCGTCTTTGTTGTCGTCTTTGTTTATGTTTTGATCGCGTTGTTTATGTTTTGATCGTGCTTGTTTATGTTTTGATCGTGCTTGTTTACATGCCGATCGTTGTTGTCGTCCCGGAGGGGAAATGTCGCTGCCTCTGCCGCTGTCGCGTCGGCTTGCGTCGGCATGCGTCGGCAGCGGAGAGGGGAATTGTCTTCAGCGCGGCCGCGACTGTTTTAGTGCGGCCAGTTGACGTAGGCCTACAGTCGTTCCCTAAAAAATGTACACGCCTACTTGCTGTTTTCTAATTACTTTGTAATCTGGCCCTTCTTGGGCAAAATAAAGATCGGGCTTCGCGCCGTTAAGGGGGTTTCCTGAATTACAAGGTCAAAAAAATCGATTTTTTTTATTGCTTAAATCGATAGGTAAACTTTCTAAGAATATACCACAAAAATTTCAGAAGCCAATTCAAAGTATTTTCGAAGTTACAGAGATGAAAGCAAAGGAGCGCCCAGCAGGTTTGCAGGCGCTTTGCGAACTTTGAAGCGCGTTTTCTCCACTTTTCATTTTTACGATTCTTTCGAATTGGCGGGAAAGATAACAAAAAAACTAATTGACCGATTGAAACGAATAAAGGCTTATTCTCTTTAGAATTAAATTCTCTTCTAGTTGAACTAAAACGGTTGTTGAAAACCGCTTTTTATATTTTTTACAGCATGTTAAAGTCAATATTTTATCCCGAAAAATGCAATTTTGACTTTAACATGCTGTAAAAAATATAAAAAAAAAGAATCGTAAAAATGAAAAGTGGAGAAAACGCGCTTCAAAGTTCGCCAAGCGCCTGCAAACCTGCTGGGCGCTCCTTTGCTTTCATCTCTGTATCTTTGAAAATACTTCGAATTGGCTTCTGAAATTTTTGTGGTATATTCTTAGATAGTTTATCTATCGATTTAAGCAATAAAAAAAAATCGATTTTTTTGGCCTCCTAATTCAGGAAACCTCCTTAAATCTACGGTTTTCTGTGTGCGTGTGTGGTGTGTGTGTTTTTTTTTTTTTATATTCATTTATTTATTTACTATCAACAATACTAACTAAAGTAACACAGAAACAGAAAATGACAGGGCAAGGGCCCGTGGTTGTGCGGTACGGCCGCAAAGCATTGCTTCGCACAACTGTAAGCCGCTCATCCAGTCTGCTCCCTCCTCGATCTCTCCAGTGCCCTGAGAGATCTCATCAGTTTGGCAGCGAACTCTGCCGCCGCCTCCCATGTCCTCGGGTCCGCCAGCATCAGCGGCACCAGCGTGTCCACACTGATGGCTGTACCTGCTATCGCCTCCAGCTCGTCCCTTTCCTCGTCAAACCGGCGGCAGTCGAAGATGACGTGGCTGGAATCCTCGGTTATCCCGGATCCACATTCCAGGCAGCTTTCCTCCGTGTCGTGGCCAAACCTCTTGAGGTAGCTACGGAAGCATCCATGCCCGCTCAGCACCTGGGTCAGGTAAAAATCTACCTGCCCGTACTTCCGCTCCATCCAGGCCTCGATGTTGGGGATCATCCTGTGGGTCCAACGTCCTTTGGATGAGGCATCCCACAGGGCCTGCCAGCTTCCGTAGCTCCTTTTCCTGGCCGCGCTTTTCAGCTCGGCCTTCGCGACCGTATCGACTCCCTGCTGACCGCGAAGCGTGGCACGGATGTCGGCCTTCTCGCGGATCAGCTCCCTCAGAGGGACCAGGCCGGCTAGCACCAGCACCGCGTCGTCCGAGATAGTTCGGAAGGCGCTCGCCACTCGGATGGCACAAAGTCTATACGTGGACTCGATTCCCCGCATGTAAGACTTTTTCGCAGCCGCCTCCGCCCACACTGGTGCCGCATACAGCAATTGGGCGGTGATGACGCTGGTCAGCAGCCTCCTTGTGCTCTGCTTGGGTCCCCTGGTGTTAAGCAGCATCCGGGAAAGTGCTCCAACAGTCCCGCTGGCCTTCTTTTGGGCGTACTGTAGGTGTTCCTTGAAAGACATCCTTGTATCGAGGAGGACACCCAGGTATTTGATGGCCCTCTGGGATTTTATCGCCGTCCCTCCGACCAGGACCTCCGCCGTTACGATCTTTTTCCTACTCGAAATCAAGACTGCCTCCGTCTTGTGCGCCGCTAACTCCAGGCCGGCGTTCGAGAGCCACGCCTCGATCGCTTTGATCGCACCATTCGCGTTTTCCTCCGCAGCCGCCCGCTCCTTCGCGACTACTACCACAGCTATATCGTCAGCGAAGCCAACGATCTGGGTGTCTCTGGGCATCGGGAGTCGTAGAACCCCATCGTACATGGTATTCCAGAGCAAGGGTCCCAACACGGAGCCCTAAGGGACTCCGGCTGAGACTTCATATGCTCTGGAACCCACATCCGTGTCCACAATGAGCACCCTCTCGCTGAAATAGCTCCTCGCTATCTCCATTAGGTACCCTGGGATGTTCAGGGCGGCGAGGGACTCCAGCGTCCGATTCCAGTCGGCAGTGTTAAAGGCGTTCCTTATGTCCAGCGTTATCACTAGGCAGTAATTTTTGGAGCCGCCTTTCCACCTCGTTCCCGCGATCGCCGTTTCCGCTATCTCCTTCACCATCTCGATCGCGTCCAGAGTTGACCTCCCCTTCCTAAAGCCAAACTGGCTAGGAGAGAGGCCCCCCTGCCCTCTCGATGGCGGCATTTAACCTTGCTGCTATCACCTTCTCGAACACCTTGCCAGTGGTGTCGGTAAGGCAGATAGGCCTGTAGGAGGATGGCTCCCCCGGCGGTTTGCCTGGCTTAGCCAGCAATAAGAGCTTTTGCTTCTTCCATCTCTCCGGAAAGGTGCCCTCCTGGAGGCATATGGCGTATAGGGTGGCGAACTCCTTTGGGTGAAGCGCGATAGCCAGCTTCAGGGCCCTGTTGGGTACTGCGTCCGGCCCAGGCGCCTTTTTGGGGCGAACGCTCCTTCCCGTCCGGATCACCTCGTCGGAGACCTCACAGTCGACGTTGGGGTGGCGCTCCGCACTGGACTGCGTCAACACCACCGGGGCTCCCCTCGGGAACAGTGCCTGCACTATGGAGTCCAGGGCTTCCGGGTCCGAAGGAGCCGTGCTGCCTGCTTTCAGCCCTTTGACCACCAATCTGTAGGCACCGCCCCAGGGGTCGTTTTCCGCCTCGTCGCAGAGCCGCAGAAAGCACTCTCTCTTTGCCTCCCTTATGGCCAATTTTAGGGCCCTCCTGGCCGACTTGTAGGCTTCGCTGCACTCGACCAGTCGAGAGGAGCCACGTGCACGGGTCATTTGCCTCCGAGCATGGAGGCACTTGGACCGGAGATCGGCTATCTCGTCGCTCCACCAGAACGTTGGCCTTTGATTCCTCCGACATGTCCCTCTCAGCCGCATGCTCTGGTCGCAGGCATGCTCCAGGGCTGCTGCGATCTGGTTTGCAGCCTCGTTGGCTTCACCCAGCGCCTCGGCTGACAAGCCGTCCAGCGCGTTGGCGAATGCCTGGGTGCGCAGCGTGTCCGGCCGGTAGGCTCTCCTGGGCCGCTGCAGTGTGCGTGTGTTCCCCTCCGGCGCACCCACGGTGCATAGGATCGCCTCGTGGTCGCTCCCGGTGTAAGCGTCGCTGACTTCCCAGTTAGCGTCGTGGGAAATTGCGCTGCTCACGAAGGTCAGGTCGATTATTGAGGCGGCTCCTGCTCTGGCAAACGTGTGCCTCATCCCGTCGCTGAGGAGGACTACGTCCGTCGAGGCAAATGCCTCCAGCACCGCGCGTCCCCTGGCGTTAGTGGAGACGGATCCCCACTCGAGGGCCCAGGCGTTGAAATCGCCTCCGACTACAACCTTTGCCCTGCCACGCATGTCGCTGCATAGGTTGACTAGGATCCTGCTAAATGCATCCAGCGGGAGACTGGGGCCCAAGTAGCAGCTGTAAATGCAGAAGCCGCTGACTTCCGCCCGCACAAACCCATCGGCTGAAAGGATGTTGGACATCCGCCGCTGTCCGTCGCCACAGAGCCACAGGGCCGCCTTGCCGGAGCGGTCCTTCGCCCATGCTCCTCCCTCCCTCGCCTTATATGGTTCGCTAAGTATAGCGACGTCCGCCGCTACCTCGCTCACCGTCGGCAGAAGCAGGTCCTGCGCCGCTCTGCAGTGATTCAAGTTAATTGGGATCAGCATGCAGGCATACGGTTTAAAAATGCCTAAGTACCACAAAAAGTGGTCAAAAACCCCATAGTGTAATATCTCTAGAAAGGGCAAATAATAAGCTCAGACCAACACCCAGCTGCAAGGAAGTTCGTTGACCTTTTAACAAAAAAAAACACATAAATACTATAAGTATTGTAATTTTTTTCCTAAATTTATTTTTACACAAATAATTATAATTAATAAATTAAATAATATTACTTTGAAATTATATTATATAGGTATATAATATAATATATTAAATTGATATGTGTTCATATTATTAATTATTGGCTTTATAAATTAAATAATTTCTTGTTTAAACTGAGATTGACTCATCAACTTGAATTGTTATTATTTTTTCTAGCTTTTTAGTTCTAGGAGGTGGAATTGGAGGGTTTCGAACTATATCATTGCTGAGATCACTGGCTGTTTGGGATGAATGACATTTAAATTGAAAAAAATTGGTTTTGTGGAAAAAAGTTCCAAAAGAAAATTGTTTTCTTTCGTTTAAAATTGTATTTTTGTACAAAAATTGTTTTAACTCTTTAAATCTGTACCAAATTCCCAAAACAGAACAAAATATTATGATAACCAAAGAAATCAAAAGGCAATAATTTAATGATTCTCTGTGGTTATTATCTGCCATTTGTTCTGTTGATGTTAATATTTTAGTAGATTTTGGAGATGTAGTGAATAATGGGTTCTTTGTAGGAACAGGCAAATCTTGACTTAAGGAGATATCCGAACACGATCGAAATTCTTCCTGTGGGCCACAGCCAACAGCACCGATGCCATCGTCGCAGATTCCCCAGTTATTACCAGCAATGTAACGCCATTGTAACACGCAATGGTCACATGTAAAGTCTGAAATAAAAATTTGTTAATTATTTTCAGAAAAATATCGTAATGGTAGGATACATTCTACCTGGTAGACGGGCTTTAATTTCATAAATGCGACTTCCATTTCGGGGATAAAATCTACTTTGCAAATCCGTTGGACTTGGCTGGATAGGAAATCCACCCATTATCGGCAAAACATTTTGATCCAGACAGAACTGTTTAGCATTTGGCCTTGGACATAACCGAAACTCAAAATATCTGTGAAATTAATGAGCTGTAAGTTTTTCGCATAGCAAAAAAAAATATTTTTGTATACCCCATATGACTAGCAGTTAATTCGACACGTATCGTCATCTCGGATCCAGGAAAATAAGTTTTCACGATTAAGCCTTGCCCCCATTGACCGCCGCTTTCATGAGGACGTGGCTCCGGAATGTCCCAGGGGTCTCCGCATTCTCCGCATTTTCCTTTATTTTTTTTCCACTGGCGGGTAAACCCGCCACAGTATAATTCATGATCGTTATAGTCTGGTGGTGTTTGAAATCCATAACGCCAAGCCGATGCTCTACTTGGTGGTTCAATAAGTCTCCCATGAGCATCGCAGTACAGGATGGAAAATGAAATTGAGAAAAAAAGGCAAATCCACACAATTTCTTTTGCTTCCTTTTTGGACCCTGCTCTCAAATGCATCTAACAAAATGAAATTTTTTTCAAATAATTATGGTTAAATAACGTTTGCTTATGAAAAATTGCTTATTGATTATAATTATATACACTTGTCTATCAACGTAATAACGTGAGACCAATCTATTCTAAGGTAATTTAAATTAGCCAAAACCAGCACCTCAGTTGTGTATATTCTAGTATATAAGTCTCAAATTCAGACTCTAAATATTATGATAACCAAAGAAATCAAAAGGCAATAATTAAATGATTCTCTAAAGTTATTATCTGCCATATGTTAGAATCTGGCCCATTTCCGGAAACCAATGAATGTAATTGCTTTAGTGGCGGTACCAATGACGTCAATTTGACTTGGCCGCTGGCGCAACACAATCCAGGGACTTCATTTTTGAATTTTAATGCCTTTCCATGTGGACACAATACATTCAACAATTTGCTCTGAACTGTAATCAATTGCCACATTATAACTGAATGCAGCTCTGTGAGGATAAAACACACCATCCCTATGCTGTTGATTTCGATTCTGTTTATCTTAATTTCGCGCTTTGCGATGCTTATCGTTCTCTGCTCTGAGGTTTAACTACAAAAAAATCAGCCAAATCGGTCTAGCTGTTCTCAAGTTATGTCGTGACAAGGTGAAGTGGGTTTCATTTTTATATATAAAAAGATAATATGTCGGAAAATTCAATACGGCCACGGAACCTGATGCTGTTTCCAACAATGTCTCCTCCAAATTAAACTTGAATGCTAAGACAGTCTCTTGCTTTAAACTGGTAAAAAAGACGTTTAACAAAACATTGCTACCTTAAGATTCGTCAAGTTAAAGATCGGCGTACTGGATCAATACTATGATGAAGTGTTTAATAAGCAAATTTTACAGTGCTCTGTTAAGGTCACAAGGTTTGTTCGTAGAGAAAGGATTAATAAGGGAGATCTTCAACCCCAAATCTTTCGCCAAAACCCGTAGTGATCGACCCCGCTGGCGTCGATGTTCTTTCGGTTTATCTTCCGCATGCCCTTTCCTGCTATAACCAGGCCAAAGTTCCCACAGAATCTTCTTCACCCTCTTCACCTCCACTCGTCATCCACTGCCGGAGTCCCAATGCACCGACAACAACAGCAGATGGTGCTTGCTCAGTCCCTTTTGCCCGACATTCTCCAAAGGCTGGGTTTGGTTGACTCTCGCTTATGCGAGCTCTTTGCAGCTATGCTTTCGCTCCCGGTGCTACAACAACTCTTGCCGGTGTTACGCTGTGCATCTGTATGCTACTCAGTGATCGGTTGGCCGTTGGATCTTCGGTCTATGGTGTGTGCTGGCGGAATTGATACTCTTAACTTTTCTATGACTTTGGATTACTCCCATATCGTTGTTTATAATTAGGATATTGCACAACCCTTTGCTTGTGATCTGCGACCAGCATTATCTTATTCTATATCTGTCGTTCCGGCTGTGCTGTCCGCTCATGTTGAACCTGCGCCACCCCTCTCTTCTTCGTCTTGCGACAGCTCCAGCCGGAAAATATTTTTCAAGATATATCCGGCATCATCGCAGTGAATTATATTAGTTGAAACTTGGCTTAATATGGATTTCTGTGACAATGAATTCTTCTACCCCAATCTATACCAAGTTTTCCGCAAGGATAGAGATGCTGCGAAAACTCAATGCTCTGAAGGTGGAGGCGGTCTTATCGGGGTTTGGCGTATTCTGAGTTGCACATCTATCCGGCTTTGGAATGAGGACTCTATTCTGGATCAACTTTGCGTGTCTCTTGCTGCACCTTCGGAAACAATTTTTCTAGTGGTTGTATATCTACCGCCATGCAGCGCATTCGAGATTTATAAGGCAATGTAAGCAATGATCTGGAGGACTCGCAGTGTTTTTGGCGACTTCAACCTTGTTGGTTTGGGTGTGGACTCTGCAACAATGGTTTCCCAGTAACCTACATCTGCCGCATGAAATCTTGGCGATTGATGATCTCTTTAGTTTGCGAGTGGTCCAAATTAAACATGCATTTAACAAATTAAATAAGCGACTACGCTTAGTTTTCTTGAGTCAGGATTTGAACTTGAATTTGGCGTCTAGTAATAATCCTCTTTCGGATTGTGATGTTCACCAGCAGCCTTTATTCTCTCCGTATAATTCACTAACATATTCTATGTATATTAATGCTAGCAATTTAAATTTACTTCGGAATGATATCGCAAATATTAATTGGGTAGAGGTCCTTTCGCATGTTAATTTGGACACTTGCTATGATAACTTTCTCTCATCTCTTTTAGTCATCATTAATAGGTAAGCAAAAAAAAATATTCCACGGATCTTATAAATTACCCTGGTATACGCAAGAACTAAAAAAATACAAGAATCTTTGAAATAAATTCTATAAGCGGTTTGTCGAAAATGGTAATTCTGCAGATTTTGAGAGATACAGGAAACTGAAATTAATTAGTAACCCGAAATCAATTTGGTACTTTGTTATTTACAAAAAAAAAAAAAACCTTTATCCCTTCCCATATGTCGTACAATGGGTCAATTGCATCTTTCTATCAAGAAGGGACAAATCTTTTTGCCAAATACTTCGCTTAAAATTTGGAGCCATCTTTTCGTTCCATTGTTTTAATCTCAAACATTGGGTGCCTGCATGTCTCCGAATCCGACGTAGAGCTTTAAAACCTCACCTCTCTCCTTTAGTTTTAAAAAGTTATATTGGCGCTCTGTCTGAGCCACTTAAAATCATTTTTAATAAATCTTTCTCCAGTGGTGTATTTATTCAGAGATGGAAGCTGGCACTAGCTACCCCAATCTTTAAGTCTGGCGCTAAAATCATTGTTTTTAACTACAGACCAATTTCAAAGCTTAGCAATGTCCCGAAAATTAAAGTGGCAAAGTAAGCAATAATGTGCTATTGTTTGCGGATGATTTAAAAATGTTCAAGTCAGTGAATTCAGCCCAAAAAAGCAAAGCTCCAGAAGGATTTGTATACAGTTGAGAATTGGTGTTACCGAATAAGCTGCCTTTGAACATTGCTAAATGCTTCCCTGTTACGTACAGCAAATGGTATAATAACTATACATATGTTTCCCATTTCAATTCAATCTATTGTGCTGCCCTGCTGAACTGAAGCCTTATATTTCGGTGTAATGTTTGAAGCCAAATTAAAAAAAATATCTTATCTTTCGCCCTTTACTCTCTCAATTTCCACGATCCTGTTCCTTCTTATTCCACTAAATGCCGACTAGTGCATATGTCTTCGTTAGAGGATAAAACAGGTGTATCAGCCATTATTACTATTTTCGACCTGATTTCAGGCAAAATTGACTGTCCCGTATTATTAAGCTTTGTAAATTCTGTGTTCCGGGCAGGCAACGAATATCATTTGAACCTATTTATACTTTGTTTTGCAGGACAAACTATGCCCTAAACGATCTTTAATTTATTTTAATAAATTGCGGCTAAACATGCGATTGTACCCAACCTCCTTAAGAGATTCGGCAACGACAAAAAACTCTACTTATATTTAGCCTCAATTTAGTATTAAGTATTAAGTATTTAAGTTGCCAATTAAGGAGTCCCTCCGTTGACGAAATAAATAAATAAATATAACATCAGCTGCAGAAGCTGCAAGAAACTAATCGAACAGGAGGCACAACGGAGACACACAGGAGACATAACAGCAGAACGCGTCACTTTGGGCCTATCAGCTAGAATCGATGGGAGTAATAGAAAAACGATTCAGAGTGGTGCCTGTGGGATTCCGTACCTCCGATGACCTCTGGCTGGGAGAGAGCGAATCAAGATGACTCTCATTAAGATTCTGTTGTGACTCTTATTAATATTCTGTTGTGACTCTCATTGTAATGTTATGTCAGTCTTATTCGGCGAGCCAGAGCGTACAGAACAAGGCGAGAAAATACATGTATATAACGAACTTAATTACTTGTATTATTGGTGCAATTACCGGGTTAATACAGTGCCTAAGAAAGCAAAGTCACAACCAGGAAACAGAAGATATGGACCAAAACGGAACTAAACTTTAATTGGAAGTTCAAGGAAGAGCCTCACCACTTATACCTTATACATACCTACCAGAGAACTGGTGGCAGTTTTTAGCACTCTACTCACCAACTTTGGTAAAATCGGGTGCCAGTGCCATTCATGGTCTTATGATACTACAGTTTTAATTAATCTGCTACTTCATTAGGACCTTGAAAGAGACAACTATATGTGTTATATTGCATGGATTTTGTGGTGTTCGATATAACATAGCTAAATCCCCTAATGCTATGTTAAACAAAAATTACCATAAAAAAGGGATTTTGTAATAAGGAGTATACGGTCACACTGGTTTGACTTCACTTCCTCTTCCTTTTGATCTTCAACGTGGCTGGTCGTGTGCGTAAATAAATAAAATATTAATCAATCAATCTACAAAACATCAAAACATAAAAACATATAATTGAGTTATAATTGGTCTGGGTAATATTGGAACTAGGAGACAAGCGTTTTAATTCAATAGGTTATGGGCCCAGACTACGTTTTTAGACAGAATTAAAGTGAATATAAGTTTTCTTGGAAATCCGAATTTAATACCCACACACACACGTGAAAACATATACAAGATGGATGATCGGTCCCGCCCGGACGCAGTCATCATAGCCGCGAAAAGGAAAACATACAGTGAAATCCTGGCCATGGTCACCAGAAGGGACGACAGCTAGCTTGCAGGCCTGGGTAACTGCGTCAAAAAGGTTAGACGCACCACTAACGGAAACCTTCTGTTAGAGATGGCAAGGAATAGCGCTGAGAGCGCAGAGACAATGCGAACGAGCATAGCGCAGGTGCTTGGTGATACGGCGGAGGTTCGGGCAATGTCAGAGGACTCAAAGGTCTCGGTACTCGAGATCCGAGAGCTGGACGCCCTAACCAAGGATCCCGAGATTGTTGCTGCGATCGCGGAGCAATTCAGCCTGGATGGCGCCAAGGTCAAGGTGCGGAGCCTCCGCCC